TAACTTTTAGAATCTATCTATTTTTATTAACGTGTCCATTTTGAACCTTTAATTAGCACTCCGTAATAGTAACCTTGTGTTGTATTCGGTGATGGAAAATGGGTTTTATTATAGGTGGTGGATCCGACAAGTGGTACATTGCAATATGGTATAACAAGGTGCAGAAAGTGGCTCCAGTGTGGATAGCCAACAGGGAGACGCCCATCTCCGACCCGGCCTCGTCGGTGTTAACTGTCTGGACCGACGGCAACCTGGTTCTTCTCAACAAGTCTAGGTCCATAGTCTGGTCCAGCAACACCCCAACCACCGCCGGAGCCTCCAACACCACCATCGTTGCTGTGCTCCTGAACTCCGGCAACCTCGTCCTTGCATATGCATCGAACACCTCCAATACGATCTGGCAAAGCTTCGATCACGCCACCGACACCCAGCTTCCTGGCATGAAGTTTGGGCGGAACAAGCTCACAGGCGTGAGCGACCGCCAGGTCTCATGGAGGAACTCCATGGACCCGTCTCCAGGCATCTTCTCCGTCGTGATGGACCCGCGGGTAGCCGGACAGTACCTGTTCGTGTGGAACAACTCCCTGCCGTATTTCACCCCTGGCAAGTTCAACCCCCAGACAGGCGCATTCAGCGGCATACCGCAGATGGCGGTGATGTCGCAGGCGGGCTCGATATACTCGTACGAGTACGTCGACAACGACGAGGAGGAGTACTTCCTGCTCACGCTCAAGGACGACAGCGTCTTCCTCCGTACCGTGATCGACCCATCCGGCCAGCAGAAGGGGATGGTTTGGATGGAGGAGAAGCAGGACTGGATGCTCTACTTTGTGCAGCCCAGTGCTCTGTGCTCCGTCTACTCTGCTTGCGGGGCTTTCAGCTGGTGCGCCGTGCACGACGTCCCTATGTGCAGCTGCCTTAGGGGCTTCAGCACGCAGAGCACAGCTGAATGGAGCTCGGGAAATTACACCGGGGGCTGCACCAGGAAGGTTCCATTGCCGTGCAGCTTGAGTGGCGCAGGCACGCTGCCGTCCATGGGTAAACATGAGGAGGATAGGTTCTACGTGATCGACAACGTGAGGCTGCCTGATGGACCGCAGACGGCCGTGCAAGCTGAGAGCGCAAGTCACTGCGAGGCAGCCTGCCTTAGCAACTGTTCTTGCTTGGCTTACTCTTAGTCTCTTACAACGGCACCTGCTCTCTATGGCACGGCGACTTGATGAACCTGCAAGAAGATCCTGACAACACAGGGGACAGTATCTTCATCCGACTTCCTGCTTCTGAGATCCCGCGCCCCAAATCTACTAGAGGGCGAACAATAGGGGTCGCCGTAGGAGTCTCTACACTCGCATTGGGTGTATGCCTTGTGACTCTTTTCTATCTTCTTCGTAGGAGAAGAACGACCAAGCGTGGCTTGCATAAGATTGACATGAACCTGACGGCTTTCAGGTACAAAGACCTGCAACTGATAACCAAGAACTTTTCAGATAGGCTTGGCGCAGGTTCTTTCGGCTCCGTGTTCAAAGGAGTCCTTCAGGATGGCACTGCCGTGGCGATCAAGAGGCTCGAAGGTGTTCGCCAAGGCGAGAAGCAGTTCAGGGCAGAGATGAGTACAATCGGAAATATTCACCATGTAAACCTGATCCGACTGCTGGGGTTCTGCGCCGAGGGAGAGCACCGGCTGCTCGTCTACGAGTACATGCCACATGGCTCACTGGATGCGTGCCTGTTCAATAAGGTTAGCTCTGATGATGGTGTTCTGCCTTGGAGCACGAGGTACCAGATAGCCATCGGGGTTGCCAAAGGGTTGACGTACCTGCACGACAAGTGCAGGGATCGCATCATCCACTGTGACATCAAGCCTCATAATATATTGCTGGATGCATCATTTGCCCCAAAGGTGTCGGATTTCGGACTGGCGAAGCTGCTAGGCCGGGACTTCAGCAGGGTCATCACGACAATGCGAGGAACCATCGGGTATTTGGCGACGGAATGGATAAGCGGCACGCCCATCACCGCGAAAGCCGATGTGTTCAACTACGGAATGATGCTCTTTGAGATCATCTCGCAGAAAAGAAACGCGGAGCATGGGAAGCGATGCATGGACAAGTTCTTCCCGATACAAGTTGCAAACAAAATTCAGGAAGGAGACTTGCAGGCGTTGTTGGATGCTGACTTGAGAAGAGACGTCAACTTGGAGGAGCTCCAGAGGGCTTGCATGGTTGCTTGCTGGTGCGTCCAGGAAGATGAGTCATCTAGGCCGACCATGGGAGCTGTTGTACAGATTTTGGAAGGCCTCCTGCAGGTTAATAAGCCGCCAGTTCCACGATATCTTGAGGTTCTTGCTGAATCTCTGGACCAATCTGTATACTCTTGAACCGAATCATCACCAAGCTGTCTTTTAGCTTAGTTATTATGTACTTATATATGTACCTTTGTTTATCAGGAAGACATCCTCATATATGAGCATTTATTTGTTTTATGTATGTAGTACACCTGTAAAAAGGTTTCCCAAAAAGCATATTGGATCGTAGTTGTGCTTTATTAATTTATAATAAAGGGAGGCTAAAAGGTCTACCATCTAATAACATATACTCTCTCCTCCAAATTGTAAGGGCATGTTTAGATCCATTAGCACTAAAATTTACAAGCTAAAATTATTACTAACGGATCTAAATAGACATGCTAATAACATGCTAATTATTAGCTGGAGGGTTGCTAACTACTCTCTCCGTTTCAAATTATAAGACGTTTTAGCTTTTCTATATTCATAGCTTTTATTACGTATCTAGATATATTTATGTTTGATACATAATAGAAGCTATGAATCTAGAAATGCTAAAACGTCTTATAATTTGGGGTAGAGGAAGTATTAGTTTCATTAGCAGGTGTGTAGTTGCTAATATGTGCTAATAGTTTATACATACCTTCAACTCGCTATCCAACTATCTATTAGCAGAGGGATCCAAACGCTCCCTACTGCTAATGGATCCAAACAGGCCCTAAGATGTTTTAGTTTTCCCAGATATATTGCTTTTATCTAAGTGCAAAACAAAATTTATGCACCTAGAAAAGCCAAAACATCATACATTTGGAATGGAGGGAGTGGACCATGGAAATCATCCGACCAGAGACTTAACGATATGAAGTCAATCGTTTATAATGACATTTATCATATATCAAATTCAAACCATCATTTCTCTAGCAAAATCTTATACCTTTTTTTTTCCTTTTCGTACCGTGAGATAGCACAGTAGTTCTAGACTACTACTACTCCATCCGGTCATAAATACTTAGCACATTTGATTTTACGTGGACTTCGTCGTGTATCTTTGATCATTAATTTCTTCTAGATATATTATTAAAATCTTTTGAATATAAGATATTTTGTGAGTATTTTGAATACTAACGCTTCCAAACTAAACTGTACTCGCTGAGTTCTAATTTCTTCTAGATATATAAGATACTTTGGCTTTATCCCAAGTCAAATTTATTATGACCAATGTATACAAAATAATGGACCAACATCTACAACATAAAATTTGTTTCACTAACTTCTACATGAATTAGTGCGCTGATTTAAACTTGTAGATGTTAATACATTTTTGTAAGAACTTGATAAAAAAATAGAGGGATTTAACTTTGGAGAAAGTCAAAGTGAACTATAGTTTAGAATGTATAGAGTAAAATAGTTATTAATTCGATGTTTATAGTCTTCAAAGTTTGACCAGATCTTGTCCTAAACAATAAGGTAGTAGTAGCTTGAATGCTGTTGCTACTACTACCTCATCATTTGGATAACAGAAGCGCATAAGCAAATGCTATAACCAAATAACCTAGATAACAGAACCATACACGATATAGAAACGAATGATCCACAAACCAAGAATATTTCAGGATGCTTGGAAGTTGGAAGCTACCTGTTTCTGTAGTAAACAAGAGCATACATGAGAAATGATCAGTAAAATTGAATTAAAAGATTCCATCATATCATTTTACATATATATATTGTTAGAATAAATAAGGCAAAACCTGGATGTTAATTAAGACTTTCACTAAGAAACTTGATGGCTTGAAATTTGCTGTACATACCAACTGCCTCATACAGAGAGAAAAAACTGATCACATTTGGCTCTTCAGTAGTTCCTGAAGAGAAGCCATGCCCAATCTACCATAATCTCATTGTGTAACCGGACAGAACAGAGCCACAAAAACAAACAAGAGTATAACACCCATTTCAGATCTTTAAAAAACCATGATAAGTTTATGCATAATTCATCTTCTCTCCTATTTCTCTTCAAAATGAGTGTACATCAGACTCCATTCAAAACAGTCATAAAAAGTAAGAAAATCATTTTGATGAGGTAGAAGACGTGCATGCACATCCCACACTCTTAATCCATGAAGTTACCGGACAGATGCCCCTATAATTGACATATCTTCACCTGACGAAGTAATGGACAACAATATTGTACCTATGCTGGGCAATGATATTGTGTCTATGCCTGTCATGCCACGGTAATGCTCAACGCACAAATGCTGCTATGATAAACCTTGCCACTAATTTGATTATAAAGTAACAAAAAAGCTGAATCTTTAAACTAACTTTAAGTTTCAGCAATATATTCCAATAAACACAAACGGGAGTACATTACATGCTCCTCAACCCCTACAAACCTTGATCTCCACCCTAATTATCATCAATAAAGAATAATACCTAGGTTATTTGTGTGTCAATCACCGTTCATTTGCTTAAAATTTGCACTTCCCTGGTGTCCTAGCTGCTACTATGTACACAACTGCTGAGAAGGAAAATGGACAAGGATAGACACACACAACACAAAAATGAAGCAATGAAATTAAGGGAAATTTAATGCTCAGAACATATGATGCTGACATGCCGTACTGCTCACTGGATAGGGAAGTAACCATTGGCAACATGATCTCCTAACTAAGATAAGTTCCGCCACCAATGCCAGAAAATGATTGGGCCTCAAGACTCAAGCATCTGGAACTGATAGAAAGTATTGTGACATAAACGCCCTGAATCTTATTTTGTACTCCCTAGGTGAAATTACAGTTGGGGATAGATTCTTTGGAACAAAAAGAGATGTCTTCACCCAAGATTCCAGCTGTTTGTCCCACGTATATTGTCTCAAATAATCTATAATTCCAAATACAAGCTCTTTCTTCTCTTTGTCAACTCCAACAAGCAAGGAGTAATCCATGACATTCATGCGCTGCAAGCACAAGGAAATACAAAATATAAGATTGAGGGCAAAATTATAGATAGTCCTATAAAATGAAGTATATAAACTCAATGAAAATTATTTCCTGGAAATAGGCACACATACACTTAGGAAAGATGTGTCGTTCCAAATAGCGCATTCCATGAAGTTTTTAGTTTTTCCTTCAATGTAGATTGGCATGGTACGCATGTCTTCAATAAAATTTTGATCCAACAGCACCTTTTCAGGATTTTCTGAATCAGGAATATACCGTGAGAAAAGAGCACCCTTCAGGTCATATCTGCGTATTATATTATGTCCAAACAAAAGATTTTCCATAACCATGAAGTTAACCCTTGTCTCCTTGCCGTTCCTAGTTTCCTTAACCTTAAATAGTATCAGAAAGAAATACATCATAATATGCTAGGAGCAGTTCGTCCCACGGAGTTTCATGGAAGATTCGACGTACCTGATATATTCCCAGAATTTTCGCAAGACATGTAGGATTGCTTGAAACCTGAGATACACAAAAATGCTTGAAGTACTCAAGACCAAACTTTAAGAACGAGTCAAACTCAGTCTTCTTGATTTGTTTTATGATAAATCGGTCATCCATTGACTTCGCAAAGAAAACCTTACTCTTTCCACCCTGCGCGTTCCAGTTTTTGCAGCGGCTTATTGATGAAATATATGCAAGTTCTGATGGGCAACATATCTTCCGAAGATCATGGAATTGTTTTGCATATATACAAACGACAGTATATTTGCTTCTCAGAGCTATCTTTTCATTGTTCAGATCAATTTCGTGATGCAGATCTTTTAAAGCTGACAGAAATGAATCATAAAACCCTGATGTTGCTTCCTCAGGTGATACTGGTGATGCAAACCTTGAAAATTTATGGTTGTTTTCTAACGACTCATTTGGAGACAACGTGGATGACAGCATAGAAGCATTTCTATCCAAGTTGCTAGATGCAGCTTCAGAATAGAACCCTTGTTGTTCAGATATAATTAGAGCGTAAGCAATAATGCTAGAAACTTCTTCCTCAGAAATTGAAAAAATATTACCACCACGGCCAGCTATAAAATGCCCCAAGTCCATTTGATGCTTTAATTGTGCCAATGATGATGAACATGGGGTGTATTTGTTGATGAGGTAAAATTTATACAAAGAACCACCTTGAAGTTCTTTCTTGTATTCCATTTCCAATTGATTAAATTGATTCCAGACCCATTTTCCTGCATCATCACTTGGAATGACAACATGATGCATTTCATTTACATTGGATGCTGCAGGTTGTTCATCATTCGTAAATGGTATAGTGTTTAATTTCTCTGAACAATTATCATTAGCAATCTCCACAGAGGTTTCGAACTGATCAGCAGCTTCGCCTAGAGAGGAAAGAGCTGATCTTACATCATGATCTTGATAACTGGACAAATCGTGCTCTTTGGTTATTAGTTTATCAGTAAGATGAACCTTATCCAAAACTGTATCACCAAATGGATCTTCAGAGCCGTCAGAAGAATTTATAATTGTCTCCTTTCTTTCTGTTCCAATTTTCTTCACTAACGGTGTGTCCTGGATTGCAATACTTCCCAAACTCTTCAGCTCATTCTTTGCTGTGCTGTCATGAATGGAATTGTCTGAAGATGCAGTATTAACTTTAGTGTACTGCAGAATATGAAGCAACCGAAGATCCCAAATGTGGAACCCAAGAAGAAGTTGCTGGTACAGCCAGTTCAAACCAAGGATCCCATGTGCAAAACTCTCGGATATGGCAATTTGGCTAAACTCCCTCAGAGAAACCTTGTATACAGAGGATATGTTAACATACCAAAAAATAATCTGAAATATTTTGCATAAGGAAATCAGCTAATAGACAGAAAAATAGAATTGATGCAGGACGATTACCTCAACTTCATTTTTCTCTTGTGTGAGCATCCTAGACACCTCCAAAAGTAATCCCTCATCTACTGAAACGTTGGTGTCTTCCCCCATGGCTTGACTAGAGTATCTTGATCTTAAGTCTTGTATTACATTTTCAATTTCTGTGAAGAGTTGCTTCCATTTAAGAAGGACCTTAAAGAATAGAATGATGTTAGCATGCAATGGCTAAAGGAAAATAAACAGCAGCAGCAGCAAATATGTTGCAGAAGCATACATTATTCACTTCGACATCAAGCCAATCCTTTTCGTTTTGGTTATTGAACTCCAAACTCAATGGAGGCTTACAAACAGAATATATTTCTACAGATGAGTATCTGAACATAGCAACTTTGGATCCAAATCTGCAAGGCATAAAATGATGAAGAATATCAGTAAAATCATGAAAAAAAATCCCTGTTTCATCTAAAAAAAATCCATGTTCATATGTATAGGAGCATAGGAGACAATTACCCAAAGAAACGTAAGCAGTCTCTATGAAGCAAATGCCCACATGTTGGTAGCTTCTTGGCAGCAGAGTGGGTTGAGAAGCTGAGTTCCAAGAACTTCCCAAACGACAGATTCCGAGCAGAGGAAGATATTATAACCCTATGGGTCGGCTTAGCATTGCATCTCAAGCATCTGGTCCACATCCAAATTCTTCCTTGAGTTTCACCAGAAAGTGTCAACTCCAAGGGAAGTCTTTTCACAAGAACAGTGAGAGTACCATTATGGTGGGTATAAGAGTACATGTGAGATTCTGGAGATTCACCACATGATAGGCAGTTGTGTTTCTGTAAACAGTTTAGTTATTATTGGAAGACACAGCAAGTAAAATGAAGGATATCTTAAATTAACAAATAGTTAAGATGTATGACCTCATTAAGTAAAGTATCTTGCAAATATCGTCCAAGAGATGTATCGAAATACCCATAATAAGTTATCCGCGAAAGGTGACTCTGCTCACAAACAGCTTGGTTCCTGATATGTTGGCTAGACATTGAAATCAAGATGTCCTGAGTATTCAAAGCAGCTCCACTCTCAGCACGAATTACATCAAAAGTTCCCTGAAAATTGTCACTAGACAATTGCTTCTTATGCACCTCTTTGGAAGTATCAGTGAATGGTGAGCCATCAAAACCATCAGATGTGTTTGACTCGGCACAATCTGGTGATGACATGTCCTGCATAAAATTTGTCGAGGGATCTGAAACAGGCAGGGATGAATATGACTGAATGCCTTTGCTGTCAATATGCTCTTCACCAGCAGGATCTTCAGATGTCATAGTTTTGGAATCATGAAGATGCAATGGTATTGATTTTTCAGTATGAATGAGTTTTTCCTGATTAGGATACTGATCATCACAAGTTGGAGTGTTATTCATGGTGTCACTGTTTTTTGAACTATCATAACTGGGACCAAGCAGTAGTGGATTAGTTTTAAAGCACTTCTCTTTCCCTGTGGTAGTTTTGTCTGTTGTAAACAACTTTTGATCAGCAAAGAATGAAGTTTCAAGGATCAAATGGTAAGCTGCAAAGACAGTGAAATGAAGCACATGCTTAATCTTCTTAAGTTCTTCCCTTGTTGCTCCTTTCAGCAGTATCTACAGAACAAGTCAAACTAATCAGAACTAGCAAAACAGAAGGAGCACAATAAACAGGATGAGTCATGAGAAAAATGGGAAAAAAGCACATACAATGGACAGCAGATGATATGATTTGCACTAGCACAACCTATAAAGCTCCAAATAGCAGACAAAGTATGACAGACAGGCAATATTAGTCATGTAATTCAATGCAACACTAAGTAAAATGAGTGCAACTGAATGGTGTTAGCCAACAGTGAATTTTGGTCTGTTAGCTTTTAGCATAGCCATCGAGAGACCCCCCCCCCTGATAATTTTTTTCTCCATATTCTACTCCAGAATAGCTTCTTCTAGATATAACTCACACAGCAAATTAGCTTGTCCCATCTCACTAAGTCATAGAACATCAATAAATGCAAGGTAAGAATCACACACCCCTATTTGCCACATGTAGGATGGTCAGGCAAAGTGGTAGCACAAAAAGAAAATAACATCTGGCTAAATCGACTAAATTTTGTAATAAGAAGAAAAAGGGGATCTGGGTGTGAAAGACTTGGGAAATTGAATGACAGTCTGCAAATGATGGTGGAGACTTGAAAATGAAGAAGAAACTTGGCAGGACATTATCAAAATTAAATACGACAGTCTGCAAATGATGGTGGAGACTTGAAAATGAAGAAGAAACTTGGCAGGACATTATCAAAATTAAATACCTCCAGGGGCAGTCCATGTGCACTGTGAAACACAGGCAGGAAGAGTCCCCTGTGTGGGCAGACCTGCTCAAAGTAAGGGAGCTGCACCTACAGGGCAGGACAATTGATACTAGAAATGGCCAAAATACTCTGTTTTAGAAGGACACCTTGTTCTATCCTGAACATTTATGTGTAAAATTTCAAACCATGTAACAACTGTGTGACCAACAGGATATCAGCGTAGAATGTTGCTTTTCAAGGGATATAAATCTATCTTCCAGGAGATGGCTCCCTGAATAGTTCAGGTCACAGTGGGATGCTGTGTGTGAGAAAGTGAGAAACTTTCCATTCAGAACCAAATATATCTGGTTGATGGAGAATAATGCAATTTTCACCAAAGATAACATGATTAAAAGAAACCGGAATGGAGAGCCTTCCTGTTATTTTTGTGATCAAGATGAAACAATTTCACCTCTTCTTTGAATGTCCAGTAGCAAAGATGGTGTGGAGTGTTGTTGGACATTGTTTTGGTGCTAACAACATACCAAGGGACCTTGCGCAATGCTGGGTTTGGGTTAAGATCGAATTGGTTACCTAATAGGAGCAAAGTACACACATTTGAGATAGCACTAATTTGCTGGGCTATCTGGAAAACATGAAACGAAATTTGTTTCGATGGAAAATTTTATTAAAACCCCAGCTGAAATCATCTTTTATCCTTACCCTGATGTGTGAGCATGATTATATCAAGTGGAGGCTGATGACTATGGGTAGCTTCTTTCACTATCACCAAACAAGCAAAAATGAAACATAAGCAATTTTTCAGAAAATATCTCAAGCGAACCGGCGAACCTTCTTTAAAAAACAAAAAGAGTCCAACCCATGCAGTGTGAAAAAACCAAATCTGTACACCAAATGCAGCGCCCGTGCGTCGCGACCGACTGACATCCGTCATCCGCGGTTTCGCCCTAGTATCTGTCTTCCTGCCCGGCTCGTTGATTCCCGCTGACATTGCCTCACTCGAGCGGTCCACGGTTTTCTGCCTATCTCGGCGACAACCTGGTCTCTCGAAGGGACCATTAAAAGATATGTCTAATCCATGCACTCGAGCAATAAAAAACCCCAGACTCATAAATCGAAAAGACTACATACAAATAAGTAAGAAAGAGAAAACATACCGTGCATCCCAGAGGTCTTGGAAAACCCTCTAGAAATAAAAATGTTTTGCATGATTTCTTTCCGTCTTCTCCAGTAATATTATGCTCTTCAACAAACTTTTCAAAATGGAGAGACTCACACTGCTTAATAATACTGGGTTTCGTAAGAACACTCTGCAACGATACAATTGGAGAGCCAATGCAACGAGCAATTCTTTCCAGCCGACGAGTATTCATGTCACTTACTACCGTAACTCCTTGTTTCTGAATATATTCATTTACGTTACGGGAAACTGCTTTCTCGACCAATATAACATCAGGCTGGCATTTGACTATCACTTCATAAAGAGTTCTCTCCAGCTGATCATTTTCCTGGTCAATGCAGACGAAGAGGAATTTTGTAAAACTCACCTACTATGTGTTGTTTTATCTATGCAATGAAAAAAAAACTTTGGCTAAGAACCTAAGAGTATGAATGCAGACCTGTTTCATCGAATTTATTGATGATAGCCCTGTTGACGAATGGCCAAGGGCGCCCTGAAGAAGGAACAGTTTTGGATGCTTTACATTGGCACGCATCTGTTTATGTGCAGCACTCTTCTTAAAAACAAGACCATTGATCACTTCACTATCAAAGGAACAAAGAAAGGGAACCAAATTGAGAGACAATGTAAGGATAAGGAAAGAACACTACAATATCAATTTGTTACCTCTGCTGGTAAGATCCTGAAGCTATGCATTTCACCTTCACATACAAACCAGGATCCATTGCATTTCCGGAATTGGCATCAGGTTTGACAAGTAATGCAGCATCCCATGACAATGACGCAACAATATCAAGCCAGTTTTTATCGGTGCCTCCATCAGATAAAGAAAGCCCTTCAGCAGCCAAGAAGCGACTTACTAGGATCTTGAATTGCCCATTCATGACTTCTGACATTACTTTCTGCAATTGGTCTTCACGGCTTTCCTTGTTTCTCTCTGCTAAGTTAACCTTGAAACTTGACCTACCCCACCCAGTGCTGTTAGTGCCACTCTCGTCATCATCATTAGAAACAGTATCAAAGTCATCTTCCTTATTTTCTGGTTCTGGTGGTAACCAAATGAGAGGATCTGCATCAAAACTGGGCAATAATAGCGGGTACAGGCATTCGTTTTCATTTTCAAAGTGAGTACCATGTTTCATTTCAGGTTCGGTATTCGATATATTGTTATAAACTTTTGCATTTTCCACGGTACTGCTGGGTTCATCCATAACTTGTTCATTCAATGGAAAAATATCACCACCTGGCATGGGAAGGCTAGTGATCTGTTCAACAACTATCACACCTGATTGTTTATGATCAATATCTTCCACTGGTACACCACATTTCGTTCTTACCAGTTGATCATCGGATTGGATATCTTTTCTCTCCTCAGAAGATACATCTGAATCCAATGAAATATTAATGGCATCAAAATTTCCCTTGGTGGAGTCTTCATGTCTCTCCAACTGTTGTTCAGCAGATGAAATATATTGTTTTACTGGAATGGAAAAAATAGCACAGTCATCGGCAATATCCTTGAATTGACATTCTTCCACTCGTACTGAACTCCCTTCTTGCTTCATAAAATCATTGCTTAATAGGTTATCATGATGAAATTGACCAGTATCTTGGAGATAAATCTCCTCTTCAGAATCAGAATCTGTTAGAGAGTCACCTGATGAAGATAAAAACCATAGAGACATTATGGTTATCTAAGAAAATGGTGTTAAATGATACAAATAATCATATCACTAATTTAAGAGAGGAGTGCTCCAACACTCACCAAGGCTTGAAAAGCAACTGGCAAAGCTTGAGAAAGAATTTTCTCGGGTAAAAATAGGGGTGCCATAAGGAGTGCTGCAAGGGCTCGAGTCCATGGTCAACCAGTTGATCTCACCAGTAACAATTGATGATCCCTCACCATGGTCACACATCTTGCAGCAAGATGTGCTGCAGGTCAGGTCGATATGAGCTTCATTCATGGTTGTCTCTTCTGATGCACATGCGTGACACATTTTACTCATGACACAACTTCACTGCATTATTGTGCTAGCATGCCACCTGCACATAAAAATAACATTGGAGCCATCCACTAAGGTAAACCATAACCTGAGAGACTAACCGCTAAATGTCAAGTAAACATCATGACTGCCTGAGCTTTTACAAAGGTCCCGCCACATGGGAACGAGAATTATTTGTTATATTATACTTTCGAGCATGCGTACCCAATCACTCTGAAGTTCCGAGCTTATTGCGCACATTTATTTTAGTAAAATTCTAAAAAGCCACACTGAAGTGGATCAAACTGAAAACTGTAATATGGCAGGAAAAACACTTAAAATTACAGTGAACCAGGGATTTGACAGCACAAGTTCACTCGGAGACATCATGAGAATTACGGAGATAATATACAAGGTGGAAACAATTGAATGTTCGGTGAACAACTTAGATTATGCAGCTAACGCCAAATGCCTCCCAATTTATGCAGCAACAAACACTAGATTCACTTGTATTTCACCTATTAATGGGAGGAGGGCGGGCAGCAGCCTCCGCTTACAGCGACGCTGCGGCGGCGGGAGGCGACGCTAAGTCTACCGGCACGCGCTAGGACGAGGCCACGAGGGAGCCTATCGGCTACAGGGCGATGGCCGAGGAGGCGAGGATGGAGGGCGATGCGGCGGCAAGCAGGCAACGCCGCGCGGCTACGACGGAGGAAGCAGTGACAACCAAAACAGCGCCCCAAAAAAAACACGCAGATGGCCAAATGCCTCGCGATCGCCGCCGCTGCCTCTCGAGAATTCGACAGGTTCCCCGATTGTCTCGCATCGTCAAATAGCCAACCCGAGAAACAACGCGATTTGAGACGAAGGGCAAAGCATCAAAACTTACTTGTGCGTGCCGAGAAGGCACGATTCCAAATCCACCGGAGGTGAATACGCCCACCGAAAGCCTCGACAAACGCGGGCGGGTTGCTCGCTGCCCCCCGATTCCCAAATGGCGAAGAACAAGAGGGAAGGGAAGGGATGAATCCAAGAGCGGCGGGATTCGAAGGCTTGATGTGTGGGATTTTTGTGATTAAATTGGACGCGCTTTTGAAACGGGGAGAAGAGGAGGAATGGACACAGAAACAGCCAAATATGGGGGGAGTGGCTTGGATGAGCTGTAGCCGGCATATATACGTACGCTCCAGTTAATGCTTGCGTGACATGGCAGGCGCGGACCAATGTTGTCGTGTGAGTCAGCATGGGTCACGGAACCTGTCTGTTTGCTTCAGTCACGCATGCCTCACGGAACCTGTCTGTTTTTTCTCAGGTACACGCTGCCTACACTAAATATAGGTAAAAAATAACTAATTACATAGTTTAGTTGAAAATCACGTTCCGGCTTTCCGAACAAAATCGCGGCTGGTCTCTCTCGGCAAGATTTAGTGCATTTCAATCCGGTAGAAGTAAATCTGAAATATCATAATCGGTGTGGTAGATTTCATACGAACTCCATTCTAACACATTGAGATTCAGTTCGTACAATCCTGAAGAATTTTATTTCATCGTAGCCTAGTGGGCTTACATACAAAATTATATGTCTGGTGCATGTTTAGTTTCTAAAATTTTGTAAAATTTTTCAAGATTCCCCGTCATATCGAATCTTTGACGCATGCATGAAGTATTAAATATAAATAAAAAATAAAATTAATTACACAGTTTAGACGAAATTCACGAGATGAAACTTTTAAGCCTAATTAGACTATGATTGGACACTAATTGTCAAATAACAATGAAAAAGTGCTATAGTACCATTTCTTAAAAAAAAATCACCAACTAAACAAGGCTCTGGTTAATCTATTTCCACGGAGCACGACTGCTTTTTACAACCAAGTTCAACCAATTGAGCAATAAAGTGGAAACTTGCCTCAATCAGATAAAAAAATGAACGTTTCTCTCTGTTGACAATTGTGCTAACAAATTAATAATGTGCAGCATAATTTTGCTCACCATTTACCACCTATAGTTTGTTTGGATCCAACAACTAATAGTTAACTGCTAAAAGATAGTTCGAGTGGATTCAAACGGACCTAGCTAATAGGTCAGCTAAGCTAACAACTCTTTCTCTAGCTATCCCAATCTAGCTAATAGCAACTAATATATTACAAAAATTCATTTTTGTCCTTCCATCTATCTCTATTCACGTGACCTCTACTAATAGCAAATAGGAAATTAAGGGCATTGTAGACAAAACCACCAATATGCATCTTTTTAGCTGGTATATTCAAAGTTTCAAATAACACCTAGCTAATAGTTAGATAACTAATATTAGTTTGAACTATAGCTACTAGTGGATACAAACAGGGCCTATACTCATGTCTTGAAGAACTTGCATTAGATCCTTCCCTTCGCCAATGTAAAGGCAGTCTCGAACATGTCCTCCTTTATGCTTTTGAAAGCATTCACCACACGAGTGCTTCCAAAGGCAAATGACTCTACCTTCTTAAAATAGCCAAACGCAGAGTATATGGTTTAGAGATTTTTGATGCAAAAAATAAATGTGTCGCTTCTTACTACGACTAAAGAGTCAACATAGTGACTCGTGTAAATGCGCTCGATTACAAGGGAGAAAGGTGATCTAGATAATAGTACTCACAATTTCGCTAAAGTAGACAAAAATGTTATATTCGTCAGGTGCGTCGACCCTGAATAGAGAAGTGGCTATTGCCATGTTCGCTTGGCTGATAAGCCATGGCTTAAAGTACTGTTGGCTGATTTGTTGTGGGAGAAAAATATTGTTCGTTGGCTGAAAAAGTATGACGATGACATAGAGTCATCATTGTCACACTTCAATAGTGCAGTCGAGGCTCCCTTCTATTATTTGATTGGCTTATGTCTTCAAGAATTTGAAGGCTAGAGCCATAGATATGAACAGGGATCCACCGAACTCAAGTAATCTCCTTGAGTTTCCCACACGTGTCCCTGCATTTGTAGCCATGTACACATAGGCGAGGGCTATGACCACATCACCCGCATGTAGCGGTTGCCAGCGCCGTTCCATCAACAATAAGCTCAGCCTCGTTGGAGACAGCAAGCATGGTGCCCAACAACGGCGCAATGGAGTTATAGAAACCCAAGCTACTGCCTCCAGGGTTTCTGTTCCATCGCACTCACATGCACCACCCCCAATATCGATGGCATGCTTGTACACCAAGTTGGCGTCCACATAGGCAAAACAGGTCTCCATGAGGCTTTGCCTGATGGTCGAGAGTGGCAACTAGAACACGAAGAACACATGCATCTACCAACATATGTTGCAGATAACCACACAGATGAGCAAGGTACATTTATATTTGCAAAAGAGGTTTTGATTTGTTGAAATTAACTTGATAGTCACATTGATTTCCGCTTCTCCTTCCGTCTTGCTGTGTCTTACTCCCGTCCGTTTCACTTGCACGATAGCACGCCTCGGACTTCAGCGAAAACATTGGTTTCGACTGGATGCTTTCATTCCTACGTTTTGTGAATCAAAACATTCTTTTCGAAGGAATCGGGATGCTGGTTCCTCCATTCCAAACGGTGCGTGGCGTCAGCAAAACAAAGGAACTCGATTCCTTTGAAATTCCTTTGGAAATCCGTGTTCCAAACGACCCATAATACTATAATCGCTAGCATCTACCGTGGTTCGTGAATGGAATTGAATCCATCAAAGGCAGCCAGGGAATCGCACATTGAGATGACCCAATCTGACAGCAACAACATCGAGATGAATAGCACCCTGACTATTGATCAATAGGAGGTCAACATAGCCAGTGAGGATGGCGATGGCAATTGAGTGAGGAGCCTTGGAGCGATATCAAGGATAAAGAAGCCATAGGCCTATGTTTTATTGAGACTCAAAGCTATAGAGTACATTAAACACCTTTTATAGTTGAGAGAAATATTTTCTTGGCCCTGAAAAAAGTTCGGCTTATTTTTTTGACCCTTTTATTTTTTGAACTTACCTATTTTGCCCAAAAGCTATCTTTAGTTTCTTATATGGCCCTTCAATTAGTTTTAGGACTTATAACAGTGTTAAAGTCAAGCATGAAAGGACGATTTTGCCCTGGAGCAAAAAATGAATAAGTATAGAGTTCAGTTTATTTATCTATGTTTAATTTGGTCTAATCCTTATGTAATGGAATTCTCATCATGTGTTCCTGGCGGAATACTTTGATTGCTTACTGTGCATTGCTAAGCAACACGTTCGCAGGGGAGGACTATAGGAGACTAGCCGTTAGCAAGGCAATAGGTTCCTTGGACCAGAAGGAAACGCCCGGCAAACGGACAACCCAAATGCCTCGTCTCTACGACGAGAGATCCCAAAACTGGCCGCCGCCCGGTAGCTAACGCATTGCTGCATCCGTGTTCCCACTTCAGGCTAGGTAACCCATCGCGTCGGACCGCGACGACACGCTGACGCTACATCGCGCTTGCACACTGGCAGCCGCGACAAGCTAGCATCGGCAACGGCAAGAAGCGTGTGCATGCCATGCGCTCTCTAGCCGCTCCCGGCTCGGCGTACGTTTTTCTTATCCGGTCCCCAACTGGCAAGTGGCAACTGTCCCGACGCGGCGCGTGCGTTTACACCGGACGCCGTCACCGCCGGGGCGTCCGGTCGCCCGTCTCACCTTCACGTCGCGTGGCGACGCAGGATTATCTGGCGACTGGCAGCTCCCGTGTAGTGCGCGGGCCGCGGAACGCACGGCGGATTCCGCGCGGGCGGGCGCGGCGGCCGTCCAGCACGATTCCAGGATGGAAAGGCTGGAGCGCAAAGCAAAAGGGGCAGGGAAACCATTCTCCCTGGACCGACGACACCGGGCTGAGCAAGTGCGCGCGCCATTTGTTTAGCGCCTTTCGGCTGCATGTTGAGTATTGCTGCCGTGTCATGTGAGATTGTCTGACGCATTTGCTGGGATTCCTATTCCTAGTTTGCTAGTCCTAGATAGTGTATGCGCAGAGAACGCGACGAGACGGTTGGCAACATCACATGGTGTGGTGACCGGTGAGGCACCGTCGCACCGACACAGCCGCCTGATGCCACATCCTGCGAGGCTGTTCGGTGACTTCCACGGATGGCAGGCAGTTGCATCATCTTATCTTCTGTTGCAAACTTTTTTAGCCGCCAGCCTAGAGTGGAAAGAAACCCTATACTATACTCGACGGTGATCTTTCGGAGAAATTCACCGTGTTCGGTGATCTTTGGAGAAATTAGTCGGCGTATGTTTCTCTCACATGGACCGTGATATCACCATACATGGAGTAATTGGTCATTCGGGAGTGATATGATAAACATGGAGTAATTGGTCATTCGTTTGCCATGAAGTAGTAGTATGAACATGTGTGATATGTGGACGTTCAGAGTCTTCTCTGACTGAGGCTGTTGGCTATTAGCCATTTGGCCTGTAGTAGTGTAGTACACTCGGTCATGCTGATGTTCAGACCGAGCCACCGAGTTGGAAGTTCAGTGTCCTGTGGTTATGCGCAAACAGGTATTTCAGAAAAACAAAGACGATCTTCTTCAGTCTTACACTTTCGCCTCTTTCTTTTTCTTTTACCTTTATTATTTTCGCAAAAGCTTTCACTTTCTTATCGGATTTATAATGGGGTCTGATTTGGACGAAGGAATCAATCAATCATGTTCATTTGGGAGTGGAATTGGAATATGCGTTGCTTTGCTGAACACATGTGCCCTGCGTATCATGAATTGGTGTCCTTGTCACCGGATGACAATTGGCGCGCCTTTACTGTAAGCAACCTCTTATTGGGAATTGCCTGATGATTATATTAAACTTGGACACAAATGGACGTCGACAGCAGGAATCAGTCCAGAGATTTCCAAGAAACCTTCAATTTATTGTATTTGTATAAAGAGGATTAAAATATTCCTGTCATATCCGAATTTTATTCCAAAACCGTGTCAGCAAAATCGGATTGGAATTACTATTCTCCAAAGTGCGCCAGCTCAAAAGATGGGAAAAAGATCACGTCGTGTTTAGACCTCAGCTCATCATCAATGGATGCAACAAAGGCGATGAAATTTCAATTCCAAATTGTGATGGGCCTTACACACTTAATAAATGTGGTCCATTAGTCAGAAATTGTACGGTTTTTGACCCAATAACAAATATGGGCTTCTCCAGAAGCCAATCAAAATCCTTTCTCTGGCCTTGTTTAGATGGGTGTTAAAAATTAGTATTTAGCCAATTTAATAATTATTGTTCAATCAAATCTAACTAATTCGCCTCGTAATTTTCTTAGTTATTTTTTATCTATATTTAATATTTGTCGTCTAAACAAGGTTCGGTGGCCTCGGCCTTTGTATCCATACTCCAACCGCAGCAGCGCTCTGTGCCGATTTTGCCACTACCCACCGCGGGGGCGGTCGCCGCGTCGCCGGTCACCGCCGCAGGGGTAGCGGCGCCCTCAGACCTCGTCCTCTACGGCTCATCGCGACTCCAGCTATCACCGCCTCTTCTTCTCCCTCTACTTCCACCTCGGCAATCTCCAGCGCGTCACCAGCGGGGCATTCTCGCAAGCACCTGTCGGGCAGGGAAGGCTCCCCGTCGAAGCCCACCAAGCCACGGGTGTTCTTCCTCGACGTCAACCCTCTATGCTTCCGCGGCTCCCAGCGTAGCCTCGGCGCCTTCGCGCGCTGGCTGGCGCTCTTCTTCGCACACGTCAGCCTCCGTGACCCCGTCGTCGCTGTGAGTACACGCGCGATGTTCTGTTTCAGCTCCACTGCTCTACACAGGAGGAATCATCGTTAGGTGACTTCTTTCTGAAGATTTTCTCTCTGGGCTTAGGTTTTGGACGGTGAAGGAGGGAACGAGTACCGGAGGCGGCGGCTGCCTTCGTACAAGGCGCATAGGGCTCGCGGCGTCGGCACTGGCGCTGACACACGGGTCGTCGACGTTCTCCGCCAATGCAATGTCCCGGTGGGTGAACCAACACAATGTTTAAATTAGTGCAGTCACTCAATTGTTCTCAGGTCAAATTATTGAGTCTGACAATTTGGAAACGGCAAATTCAGGTTGTAAGAGTCGATGGATATGAGGCTGATGATGTGGTGGCTACCTTGATAGAACAGGTTCTACAGAAAGGTTACAGAGTTGTCATTGCCTCACCAGGTAAAGACTTCAAGCAGCTGATATCTGATGATGTTCAGTTAGTCATGCCCATTCCTGAGATTGGCCGATGGTCTTTCTATACATTAAGGCATTATGTCGCTCAATACAAGTGTGATCCAACTGCAGACTTAAGCCTTAGTGAGTATATTTCTTTGGTATTGATCCATGATTTCTGTAACCATTGGGACTCTGTTATATTTGAGCAACTAATGAATTGGAAGCTATGCTGCACAGGGTGCTTCATGGGCGATGAAGCAGATGGTGTTCCAGGAATCCAGCACTTGGTTCCGGGATTTGGTAGAAAGACTGCAGTGAAACTATTGCAGAAACATGGTTCAATAGAAAACTTGCTAAACACAGCTGCAGTTAGAACTGTTGGCAAAGATTATGCCCAGGATGCTCTCATTAAGCATGCAGATTACTTACGGAAAAATTATGAAGTTCTTAGCCTGAAGAGGTATGAAATTTCCAATTTGCGATGATAAAAAGTATGCAAAAATTCAATCATTCATGTACTACGCTTGTGCCTTGGTTAATGCACGCTATCTCTGCATCAAGTCATTCTTGATAGTCAAGCATACTGTTAACACTTAACTATGCTTACTACATTTTGTCATCACTCACCAAGCAATAGTATGAAAATATTCACTGGAGATACAGATATATTTGTATTCGGCAATGATGCTGCATGGATCTGAACAGCTCAACTATTCCTTTTCCTGCCTCAGGGATGTAAATGTTCAGTTTGATGATAATTGGTTATCCACGAGGAACACAAGCAATGACACCAATGTTCTAGCTGACTTCATCCTTAAATTTAATGGCGAAGGCAGAAGCTAAATAGTTGGTACAGTAAAACATTTGTACAAGCTGGACTTGTTCCTCACCAATCACGTCATTAAATAAGAAAAGAGGGATGCATAAAGGTTGAAGGAGCCAGTTGCTGAAAAAATTGCGTATACTATATATCCTTGCTCCAAAGAAGTAGTCATCATACATTCTCGCTTGTGATGTGTGGAACTGGAGTAGCCCTAGCTGGGTTGAAGCTGGGTGGAAAATAGAAGGTCTGTCTTGGTGGGGGGAAGGCTTGCCTCGGTTTTTCCCTTCCCCAGACTCTACTCATGTGGGAGCCTCCGGCACTGGGTCTGCCATGTCTTGGTGGGTACATGGTGTCTGGGATAAGCTTAATATCCAGGAACAAGCTGTAGTGGTACTACTACTGTGCCGTAGCCTGTAAAATCCACAGGTACCTTGCCAGGAGATTACAGATGGAGTACCTTGTATGGTAGCAACTCGTTGATGTATAAATGCATGCAGTTTACTGTAAGCTTGTACTAAGACATAATGTCCCAACGTATTTGTCAGGAAGCATCTTTAAATCATTTCCCGACTCCAGGGCTCCAGGCTATATACATACATGATGTACCATCATCGGATACTAATACTAAAATTTTATTTACTCTGTGCAATACATATATATGACATTGTAGTTTAAACTGTCGTTCAGAACGATTTCTTTTTTCTGCTCCCAATCTCGGTACCGAAATGTTCAGCAATGACCATCACGGGACGGGAGCCTCATGCCAAAACATCGTGTACCATAATTCGACCATGGTAATTAGGTGCTGAAGACTTCAGTGGCCGACGATGAAACTATAGCGCTCGCGCGTACTGACGCGCAGCTGCGGTTCAAAAAATTCTGTCAAACTGTGGCATTGATTTTGCGAATGGAATCCAAGGCCCGACCCTTTCTGGTCTGCTGTAACTGGAATCAACCTACCGCCTACGCATTGCAGAGCAGTTCATGGTTTTTGAACGGGTAAAATACTAAAAGTCCAAATATCCAATCCAGTTACCTAACTACATATTTTTCAAGCAGGAGAGGACCAGTCTGAGAATGTGGTGGTCTGATGGTCTCACTCACCCAAAAGGCCAAAACCCATCATGTTCTAGGCTTCTAGCTGCGCTTTCACCGGCCATGTAATCTGTGATTTGCATGGGACAACGAAGGATTTGGGGCAAATATGCAGAGCTTTCCCTGTTTCCAAAGCATGGAGGCCCCCTTTTCCTCCTTTCTTTCATCACCAACTGGAGCCCAATTGCTACTTTTCAGTATGCAATTGCATTGGAGACACAAAAATGTCCATCTTTCATTTCCGTTACAAACATCTCCAAGGCAGTTGTAGTACTTGATCAGCGCTTAGTGGAGAGAAAACCTAAGCAAAGGAGCAACATCATGTACGGATGAGCAGTCTGGTGTCTGCTACTCTGCTCTCGGTTGAACACAGGCAGAGCTCACTCTTCTGACCACATGACGCATGCATGTACGTATTCGAGTTGAGATATCGTGTACATACCTGCTAGGTCGCACTGTACGTACGCCCCTGACGTCCCATCTGAGTTCCGACGGCAGGAACAGCCAGGCGTGCAACAGCACCGGCCCGAGGCAGTGTTGCAGTGACGAGCATATAGGCGCGCATGTGCGTGAACCGTGAAACACATATTGGAGTACGTACTACGTACTAGGCGCGCACTGTTTGCTTACTGCTGCGACGACGCGTGTACCGCCGCCGCTCACGTCATCGGGATGGATGGCAACGGGGATGTACCGTCGGGTATCGCCGGAACGTTCTCTTCTCCACTACGAAGAATTCATCATGTCCCCGTCCCCGTTAACTGTCTCGGGTATAGATTCTTACCCATCCCCGTACCCGTCGGGCATGGGTCGGGTAACAGATATCCGACGGGTACTGTATACCCGATAAACAAGGATTCTTGGGGTCGCAGCTTTGCAATCGGAGACATTTCTTCTTCACTTGGGTATAAGTGTCGGAGTCTCGGAGATGCTGGGGAGAAAGAGCGAGGTTGCGAGGAGGACGAGCAAAGGTGGCAGAGAGACCGAACTGAGGAAGCGAGGGCCACGAGCGCTCGTGAGGCAGGTGTGCTTGTGCTGCTGACGGAGATGGTGAGGAAAAATTGAACTAGGGTTCTTAGAACACACAAACTATATATATGATTGTTTAGATTTTGGCCAAAATACCCATGTTGAGCTTTTTTGGGCCTAATACTCGCATGACAGCTCAAATAGTCGGGTTCCCCAATGGGTAACGGGGACGGGTAAACATGGAACGTTTCCGCTATACCCGGCGGGGATGGATTCTTGCCCATTTAAATGCCCGCAGGTAAAAATATGATCCCATCCCCTAATGGATCAAATACCCGTCGGGTATCGGATATCGGGGCCGTTGCCATCTTTAATCGTGATCGAAACTTCGGAAGCGCTGGATGGACCGGAGAACGGACAGGCCATACGTACGTACCCTCGAGCACTAATTTCTTCATCAGGAAAATAACTTGTCCAAAACGGTGCCACGAGACGGAACATCATCAACAAACAGAGTTGAAGTAGCAAACAGATAATCAAACAATAAATGAAATTTATTAATAATCGGTAATAAAATAGCAATGTTGGTATACTACTTTGTCACGGGAAGACATGAAACTAACAGCTACTCGTACTTGCTAATCCAATTCCTAACCCTAACATGACCACAGCTAATGTTTGGCTGCTTGGCACAATGGCATGCAGCCGCTCAAGCAACGAGGCCGACGTCCTCGAGCTCCACGGAGCCCAGCCACAGCTTCCCCCTCCTCTCCGCCACGTCGCTGAGCGTGACACCCTTATCCGCCGTAAGCTCCTCGACCTCCACCCCACGAGCGTCCAAGCGGACACCAACCAGGTGCTTCACGGGAGCCGTCTCCGGCGTCGCGTCCAGCCGCTGCTTCTCCTGGTTCAGCGCCACCCAGTAGCCACCCTTACCGTCCCGCCTCACGTTGTCCGGGTACCCCGGCAGGTCTCCGGCCCGGGCGTGTTTGGATGCCGTCCTCGCCTGGGCTTGCCTGCCAGGCAAGCGATCGCAGCCCCAGGCGATCGAAATCGAACGCCTGGGGATGCTGCCTGGCGTCTGAGCTGCCTGGGAGGCAGCATCCAAACATATTGCCCCGCCCGGGCGCCGCGGAGGAAGTACCTGAACGCCTGGCACGGCACGGTGTGCGCGACCACGACCTGCGCCCCGTTGCGGCTGAGCGCCACGCCGTTCGGGTACGGCAGGCCGGACCTGAGCACGGTGACGCCCCCCGGTGCGCGCGTCGTACCTGAGCAGCCGCCCCGTCGCGTCCGCGTTCATCATGATCTCCGTGTTGAACCTCCTCGGGTACGTCGCGCTCGAGTCGGTGAAGTACACGTCGCCCGTGGCCTGGTCGACGTCGAGGCCGTTGACGAAGTTGAACGGGACACCGTCGTCCGAGCCGATCGCCAGCACCTCCGCCTCGCCGCCTCCCGGCCCGACCCTCATGAGCCCTAGGTAGGCGTCGGCGATGTAGAGGTCGCCGGTCTTGAAGTGGAACTGCAGGCCCAGGGGGCCGCCGCACATGCTCTCAGTCTCCGCCGGCGGCACCACGCCCGCGGTGCACAGCGGGATCTTCCTGTAGTTCGCACTGTGCGCGTACGTTGTCCAGCCGACGGTGCTGCCGCCCCACTTGAGGACGCGGCCGTCCGAGACGCCGGCGTAGGGCCCCTAGCCCTTGCCATCGAACGCGAGCATCTCGGCGCCGCTCACGCCGCTGGGTAAAGGGACGCGGAAGCTCCAGCGCGTGTCGGTCGTCTTGACCTGCGCGGCGGCGGCACACGGCGAGGCGAAAAGCGCTAGGACGACGACGGCGAGGAGCGACGTCGTCAGATTAAGCTGACGCCCACCCATGTTGTGCCTGTGCGTCGCCCAACCAGCTAGCTTCCTGGGGATGATCTTCGATGTGTGCTCTCTCGCAGTCTCGTGCAGCGCGTGCTGGATTCGTCGTGTGTTCTGATGTGAGTCTCGCCGCGCCGTGGGCTCGCGTTTTATGGCCCTGGAAGCTGGAACCTGCCCGTCGCGCCTTCGGACTCGGCTGCTGTTGGCAGGAGATTTCGTTTATGAGACGGCCCTGCTGGGATTTGGGAACCAGGCCCGCGCACACGGACACGGTTTTGGTCCTGTCACGGCTCGGATCCAAACAAGGCGCCTGTCTCAGTCGTCAGTTCGCCGGTGCCGCGCTGCGTGACAGGACCAGGGCCTCGTCGCGCCCAAGCTGGTTGTGGGACTTCAGATTGATCATCATTTGATCGTCGAGAACGCAGACAATTGCGCAGGTGGAACAAGCAGAAGACAATTCGGTTGTTAGAGCCGCGCACGAACGAGAGTTGTGTGTACGAGTGTCCAGATCCTACTGTCGCGCTAGATCGTGAGCCAACAAGTGACACTAGCTGCACGGACATGTACTTGCACCGGCCGGGCGGACGGAAATGGCTCCGGTTGATCCCCCGCACCGCGCCACGCCGCCACGGTCCGGCCTGCACGTCCACAGCTCTGGCATTCAGCTCTGCGTGATCGACAGTTTTCTATGCCCGTTGCATGCACTCATGTATTTCAGTATTTGCACACTCATTGCAATGGGAGACTTTTCTCTGCGTGCCATTATAAAAGATCGTAATTCTCTATGTGTCCTTGAAAAAATTCAGCGGTCTTCAGTGCCACTACTTCAACTTTTTCGTGTCATCCATGCCACTTCCGTCAGTTTAGGCTCTAACGCCGTCAAACTGCAGGTGTGAAAAGACAAAAATGCCCTTAAGTTCAAATATGTTATTAATTTTTTTTGAGCATCTTAATGACTTCAAATGAAAAAACACAAAACTAGAAAGTTGTAGATCTCGTCGAGATCTATAATTTTCATATAATTTTTTTTCATTTAATTTCGCAAAAAAAATAATATGATTTTTCTAAGATATATTAGTCATATCAAATCATATTTTTTTGCGGAATTAAATGAAAAAAAAAATTATATGAAAATTATAGATCTCGACGAGATCTACAACTTTCTAGTTTTGAGTTTTTTCATTTGAAGTCGTTAAGATGCTCAAAAAAATTAATAACATATTTGAACTTAAGGGCATTTTCGTCTTTTCACACCTGCAGTTTGACGGCGTTAACGTCCAAACTGACGGAAGTGGCATGGAGGACACGAAAAAGTTGAAGTAGTGGCGCTGAAGACCGCTAAATTTTTTCAAGGACACACAGGGAATTACGATCTTTTATAATGGCACACAGGAAAAAGTCTCTTGCAATTGGCCGGCACCTGATACTGGCTCATCCGTCTGGTCTCTGACAATGAAACCGCATCATGACTCGTGAGGATCAAATTATAGTATCTGTGTTTTCGAACCACCGACGAGTAAATTTGTATTTGTGTGTCTGGCTCGTATGGTGTGCTCGGAGAACATAAGGATTTATACTGGTTCGGACGGAACGTCCCTACGTTCAGTTCACTGCTGCTCGTGTTACCGGCACTTGGTTTACAGTAGCGGTTACAAACAGGCGAGAGAGGGAGAGGATCCCAAGTCTCTGGTGGAAGGAGTGAATGGATACTGAGAGCTCGATTGCCGCTCAGTCGTGTGCTCCTGTCGTGCTCTTGTGTTCAGCTCTCTCCCAGCATGGGGCACCCTGCTTCCTCTTTTATAGGCGAAGGAAAAGCGCAGGTTACAGAGAAGGAAAATGAGAAGAACGGGAAAGAGAAGAAGGCTTTCAGGGTTGTCGGGTCCTTCTTCTCCTTCATGCGGGTCCCGCTGATCCTGTAGAAGTCAACAGGGACGGCTCCATGTCGCGGCCCTGTTCGTCACTGGCGCCATGCGCAGACGTCATCTGCCGGTCATGGCGTTCCACTCCGTTCCAGCGGACGTCGTGGTGAACTGACGCGCCTGTCAACGTCCGTACGAGGATTAGAAAGAACAGCACCGGCACGTCCGACACTATTCTTGATGTGAATCCTCAGGTATGGCCCGTTATAGCCACGGGTTACATCGAGGCGTGCCAGTCTCTTCTCTGGCGTTAGAGTTTTGACCCAGGCCCATATGCTTGGATCTGGAGTTGTTGGCGGCGGTATGGGTCCCCGTCGGGCGAGACGGAGCCCGCGACCTTAGTCAAGACGAAAATCGCGTCCTTGGGGTCGGACGAGACGGGCCATGCACCCAAGGGGTCCGGCGAGACGGAGCCCGTGGCCTCGAGGTCGGGCGAGACGGAGCCCGCGGCCTCGAGGTCGGGCGAGATGGAGCCCACGGCCTTGAGCGAGACGAAACCCGCGTCCTTGGGGTCTAGCGAGACGGAGCCTGCGGCCTTGGGGTCGAACGAGATGGAGCCCGTGGCCTTGGGGTCGGGGAGACCTTTTAGTACGTCTCGAGCCATCCGGGAAAGTCAGCGTGGGCGCTAACTTCCTTGCTTTGGGTATCCCTAATATCGATACCCGACAGTAGCCCCCGAGCCTCCGGATGAGTAGAATACTCCTTTGGAGGCTTTTTCGGACGGGAGGACTCTGAGGGCCTCGGCCTTCTTTTTATAGCCCGCAGCGTGTCCTGGTAGGAGGGCGATTCCCTTTTGTCACGATCGGTCTTCTTGGGGCATGTTACCGTAGGATTCGGGAGGTCGCAAAGATTTTTCTTGATTCCGGTCCCCTAGGATCCGATCGGTCTGCCGTCGTACTGCGACCGCGCGTTCGGTCTCCTTGCGAGTCTAACCTCCCTTGAGCTCCCGCGCGTAGCAAGGGTCCGATTGAGGGTCGGCTCGTCTTTGTGATCGTCATCCCTCAAGTGTTTTTTTCGATAGAACAGAGGGGCTAAGCATTGCCACGTTTTCCCTCGATGGACGGAACATGGTGCTCGGTGAGCTGTTAACGGGCTAGTCCGAGTGGGGCCCTGGTTCCCGTTCATGGGGGGTCCAACATGGGTCAGCTGGTGACCGACTTTAGACTATTGGCGGCCAATACATATAGTTATTAGGTCCGTTCGGCCGGTCCCAAGGGCCCGTTGCCTTTCTTCGAGAAAAAACCATGGACTGGGAACCGACCAAGACTCGAATGTGGGTTGGGTACTGGCCGCTAGTGGGCCCATCCCTTTCCATCCCTCGCTCTAAGGGTGCCCCTAGAGCGGCTATGAACCCGTCGGTGGGCTAGCCTTCGAACTCCTAGTCCTGAATGGGCCGTAGGGGCGTTTTTAGCTCCGTATCCCTCCTTATCTGCGACGGTTCTTGGCCCATCGACCAGGCGAACCAACATATGGCGTGTCCTTCGATGGCGCGGCCAGTGGTAGCGTGCGCGTGATCTTCGGAGGGAGGTGGCGTGACGCGGCGCAGCGGGCGCGTGAACCTAGGTGGACGGTTTGCCTTCTCGCCCCGCTCCATCCTATAAATAGCGGCCTCCCCCTTCACATTTTTGCACACCAAAACCACAGCCTTACCTTCTCCGTTTCTCCATCACCGTGCGTTCGGAACTACCGTGCTTGCTAATCCGCCGCCGGAGCCCTAGATCTGTAGCTTCCGCTTCTTCGTCGCCGCCGTTGCTTCTCCTCAGCCGCCTCCATCCTCCATGTATTCATGGTACCACTCCAATGTTACCCATGCGTGCATGGAGGAACTCGTCAAGCGTGGTCTTCTCCGTAGGAGGACCGATGCGGCAGAGTGACTTGTGCCTGGCCGTGAGGATGCGCCGGCGCCGCCCGACAGCTACGTCGTCTCCTTTGCGCCCTTCCACGAGCGCGGACTCGTGGTTCCTGCCCACCCATTTTTCTGAGGTCTGCTACACCACTATTAGATTGAGCTACAACACTTGAACCCCAACAGGATCTAGCATATCGCAGCCTTCATCGCGATGTGCAAGGGGTACCTGGGGATCGAGCCCCACTTTGAGCTGTGGAAGAAATTTCTTGTCTATCTCCTTGATCAAGAAGGAGAGAGGCCAGGAGACCCCAGTGTCGATGGGATGCGCGGGCATCCACCTTCAGGGGCAGCAGGCGGCCGAGTACTTGCCCTGCCAGCTCTCTAGATCCAACAAGGGATGGCACTTGCATTGGTTCTACCTGAAGGACGACCCTGCCGCTCCCTTGCCGGTCTTCTCCGGCCGCCTGGTCAAAGAGGTACCGCCGTCATGGCCGTGGGGGCCACCCATCAAGGAGAAGAAGAGGATGCACGACCTCCTCGAGGCCATCGCATTCCTAAAGACCCATAGCTTCCATGGGACCGACGTCATCGGGGGGTATCACACGAGGAGGGTGGCACCGCTGATGGCATGCGTCCTCCTGCTGTACGGGATGATGCCCAGAGCATAGCTCGTCGGGACGATGCTCGCCCAGGGGCTGCTCCATGACAGCGAGGTCGCGTAGCGCATCAAGGAGGCCATAGGGGAGGCCGACGCCGCGTTCCTGAACCTAGGGCTTCCTGTGATGCGGCCGGATGCGGGCTTCATCGAGCTACCGGTGGGGTTAGTCTTCCGAGACTCTGTCGTGCCGCTGCCAGAGCACGCGTCTGTGAGGGCGGCGAACCGTGCCATGGATGAACAAAGGAAGAAGAAGACGGACGACGAGGAGAAGAAACGGCGGTCAAAGCAGCGAGCGAAGCTGCATCAAGGGAAGCGACATCAAGGTTCATCGAAAGAGGAGGAGGATGACGGCTTCATGTCGCCCATCCCGTTGGATGATCTGGCCATCGGGGACGAGGACACACCTTCGTCGTAGGCGGGGCCCTTCCTGTGGCATGCCACGGGGTAGGAGGGGGAGGACGCACCCTCGGAGTCGGCGGAATCAAAACACCCCGCCCCATCCGAACCTTCGACGGCGGCCTCCGAACCAGCGGAATTAGGCCGCCTCGCCTTATCTGGGCCTTCGACGGTGGCCCCGGAGCCGGTG